GACAGCGCCGGGCGCGGGGGGGGGAGCGGCGGCGACGGCGACGGCGGAGGCGGCGTGGGCAAGGCCGGTCGAGGGCGGCGGGAGTCGTTCCAGCGGCATCTGTTTGAGGACTGCCGGCTGGTGGAGCGTATCCTCGAGGCTGTCGCTCTTAACGAGGACGCCGAGAAGGCTCAAGAAGAACAAGCCCCGATGGAAGAGCCTGAGACCGAGCCTTCGGCGGGAGCAGCGGCGGAAGTGGCGGCGGAGGGTAGTGTCGCCGCTGCTGCGCCGGAGGGAGGCGGGGTTGGAGGAGATGGGGGTGATGACGAGGACGGGGAGCTGGCAGATGCTGCTGCCACCGCTACACCTGAGCAAGGCCAAAAAACCGGGGGCGAAGGTGCGGGAGTTGAGGCGGTAGCATCAGCAGCAGCAGCAGTAGCGGAGACAGCAGCAGCGGAGACAGCAGGGGCGGAAGCTCCGGAATCGGTCGCGGGAGCAGCCGGAGAGGCACCGGCGGGGGAAGGAGGCGGCGCAGGAGAGGGGGGAGTGGCGGTAGGAGGTGATGATGGGATGGCGGTAGCTGCTGATTCGGCCGCCGCTGGCGGTAGCGGTGGCGGGACGGGGGCGGGGCGAAGACGTTCGAGGCCCGGCCGCCGCTTGGGGCACATGGGGCACGTGCTGCTGCTTAGCAGAGCCGTGATGGAGGCCGAGAGCGGGGGCGGCGAGCAGGGAGTTTCGAGTCCACCCCCGTCACTTGCCGCTGAGGGTGGGATGCTAGACGAGGGCGGCGATGGCGGAGACGCCGCTGGCGCCGCCGCTGCCGGGGGGGAGGGCGGGGACAGCGGGGGAGCGGCGGCGGGAGAGGCAGCGGTGGGTACCGCCCCTGGAAAGAAGACCTTCGTGGCGGGGCTGCTGGCCGAGAGGGACTGCGCGGAGCACTGGCAGGAGTTCGTGAGGACGACAGTGGCCGCGGAGGTGTCGCGGCAGTTGAACCCGCTGGGGGGCTTCGCGGTGCCGTCGAGAGAAGATGAGAACCAGTTGTCTTCCGACTTCCCCGACGAGGTGTGCAATGTTGATGACTCGGCAATGTCTTGATCCGTGGTGTGTGAATACAGTAGAGGCCCCAGGTATGTGCCTGTGCCCGGTATAGTGCCGGTGTTTTCGGCGGGCGCACATCGAATTTCGGAGCCATTCTCAATACGTTAACGGAGAGCCGGACGGGTAAATTCCCGCGAATATTCTGGGCACGTACTTGTACCGGCACGAAGCGGGGACCTCTACTCTATGCAGACCATGGTTGATTTCCGGTTTAGCACGGTGATTCCAGCGAGAGACGTGTGACTGCCACTGTCTTTTTGGATTCGCCTGTGCGAAACGCAGGTGATTGGAGCCTGGTTTGATCATGTCATTCCCTGCAAACTTGTAGCAGCGCTGTTGTGGCAGTACTGGAACCTTGTAGTTCGTGCAGGTTTTCATTTGGATTTGATTTGGGTTCGGCACGTCTCGCTCTTCTTCGAAGACGAGGCTACAAATTCTCGCGCCGATCGGTCGTCTTGTGTGTTTGTTTTGGCGCAAGGGTTTATCATATCTCCTTTTGTGTGCCCCCCACGCCAGGGATTAAAATGCTGTTGTGCCGTGCACCTACATCACCCGTTCCCCCCAACACTCCCTTGCTTTGTTCTGTCCGCCCGCTTTCCCGCGTCGTGGGGTTTTGACCGGCGGCGTTTTGTAACGATCCCCCTTCCAAGCAGGCTGTGGACATGGACGACACGTCGGGGCTGCTGGAAAACATGAACCGCATGCAGACCGCCGCTAGCGGTGCCGGCGAGGACGGCGGCGTAGGCGGCCTGCCCCCCGCCCGCAAGGGCACTTTCCTAGACGACTACGACGATGATGATGACGATGATGACGAGGAGTTCGGCACTGATGGCGACAACTCCCTCGCGATGTTGTTCGGCTCAAACTTCATGAGCGCAGCGGGAGGCGGCTCCGCATGGGGCTCTCTGGCTGGGGAACCGGGGTCCTCCACGGCCACCGGCGCCGGGAGCATCGGGGGGAGCGCGTTCGGCTCCACGGCGGGAGACTCGTCGGCCTCGGTTGCCGAAGGCTGGGCAAACTTTGCGGATTTCGGGGACGTGCAGCAGCCGGCGAGCGGCGGCGACGGCGGCAGCAGCGGCGCAGCCAGCGGCGGCGGGTTTGCTAACTTCGACCCTGTTTTTGCAATCGACGCTCCGGCGCCTCCGGGCCCAAGCGGGTTTGCCCCTTCCCCGCCGTCGTGGGCACCGAGGGTCGGCGACAGCGGCGCAATGGGAGACGGAGGAAGCGGAGCTGGGAGCAGCGGTGGAGAAGGGGGGTTCGCGGATTTCCCACAGTACGGAGGTTTCGCCGACTTCTCGGCCATGATGGATGATACCATGCCATCGCCCCCGGAGCCCCCGGCGGCTGCAAGCCCGGCGTTTGACGGGGGGTCTGGCGGCGGCGGCAGCGGCGACGGCGGCGCTGGTGGGGAAGACAGGATGGACGAGGAAGCGGAGGACCGAGAGGATGGCCCAGAAGTTTCCTCGTCGGGGACAGCGGCGGCGGTGGCCGGGGTGGCTGGGGTGGGGTTGTCGATGAGCACGTCCCCACGAGAAAGCAAGTGTGACAGCGTGGACGCGATGATGGGCTCGGACGAGGAGGAGGAAGAGGAGGATCAGCAGCAGCAGCAGCAGCAGAAAGAAAGCGATGGCGCCGGGGCGAGGGAGCAACGCCCGTTGTAGGTTGACGCCGCTGTCGTGGTCGTCTTCTTTTACAGCAAGGCGACAGGTTAGTCGTCACCAGGTTTTTTGTACAGTGCAGTACGGTACACGGCAAAGCCGGGCCTCTTTTTTCAAGAAGCCTGACTTGACCCTCAAGGCACACCGGCTTGCCTGGTGGTCGATGAAGGCCTACCCGAAGCTTAGCTCCGCGCTCTTGCGTGGGTGTAAAACCGTTGTGCGTCTCTGTGTGTTGGACGGTTTCCTTGCGGTCGACGGGCACTCGACTTGAAGGGAAGGTATAATCTTGGATGATGTGGTTGGTGCCTTCTCGAGGAGCGAAAACGAGCGATAAATCCACCGAACGTGTTAATGCGCTTGTCCGTGGAGACTTTGCCTTACACCTTTTTGAGAGGCATCGATCTGTGTGTGTTGCCGCAAGCGTTGCTATATATGGCAAAGCGGTTCGCCCACAAAACATCAGGCTATATTTACACCCATACTCCCACCATGTCCTCGGTGTTTCTGTCACCTGTCAACGTTTCTGCTTGAAGCTTTATTTTTGTCATGCCTGACACTTTGGGGTCCCCGCGGGTTGGAGGTTGGGGGGTTGTAGGAGTACCCCCCCCCCCTTGGTTTTCCTTGTCATGGGTGGCGATCGGGTGAGGGTTTCCGATGCCCAATGTGATCTCTCTCGGCACTGCTGTACCCGTTCCAAGAAATAGTGTGTTGGTGTTTAGCCACTCCCAGCAGCCCGCAGTAAGAATCTAAGACCGCCTTCAAGTGTCGTACTCGGCGTTTGCAGGGAGGGTAGGACTAGAAAGAGTTGTCTGTGTGCTGTGGTGATGTGTTTGCCCGATTGTGGTGATATTTCTCCATCCGCCTGCAAATATTTTGAGCGAGCATTTCTTCTTTTTTTTTCATGTGTATTGCATGGCAGGGGCCAAAGGGTGGTTGTGAAAGTATGGCAGACCTTCGTAGCCCCTACCCACCCACTCCGGTGCCCCTCTTTGAGCGGTACCGTTGATATTTTGAGATGACGGTCTACTTTCGGTTTCGATCACGGCTCCCCGTGCACCTCCCTCTCCGTCCTTTCGAAGAATGGTTCATGACGTGTCTTGATAATGAGAGCACTCCTGCTGTTGGAAACAGGTGCACTCGCTGCTTTACTTAGGAAGGCGGTAACGGGAGGGGGGGCGTCTGCTGTCGTTTTTTTTTTACCCGGCGTCTCTTGGATCACGGTATGCTGTCGTTCTACCGATACAACCGCCTCACCTTGCTGTGCTCAATTGTTTTTTACACCCGGAAAAGCGCAGCTCCTAGGGTCGGGGGGTGAAATGAGAGCTAAAAGCACCAATGTCAACACCGCTGTCGGCTGGAGGAGGACCTAGGGACACTTTCTTGACGCTGGCCTTTTCTTGCCCCTTGTCTGGTTTGCCTGCAGAAAAGCCATCACGTTCGTGCCCGCACGACGCCGCGTTGCGACTCTCCCCCGCGTGCTTATTTTCTGCTGCTCTTATCTGCTGCTGTACCGGCGTGAACGGGAAGCATTTATGCGCACGTCTTTTTATTGACAGGAAGGCCGTGTCTGCTGCATGTAAATATTTATATTTTACCGTCATGCTGCTTCTTCGTGGTATATATTGGGCGTAACAAAATCTGGCATGTTTGTTACCGGGGATGGAAAAGATAATAGCTTTTTTCCCTGTGGCGGGGGAGTTGTGTGGCGGGGGAACATTGATATCTGCACACCATGTGGCACGGGCCTGAGGGAGTGTGGGGCAACCTGCGCAGTGTAGTTGAGAAAAGACAGGCGTTCGTGGGCGCGTTCTCACTCCTTTGCGGGCTGAGAATTGAAGTTTTTTTTTGCCCACCGTCTTTTCTGTGTGTTCTTCGTTACAGCAGCAACGTGGGCTCGCCATTCCAGCCCAATGAATGGCAGACGAGGTGAAGAGGCCACGAAGATAGAGATGTGCATAGCAGTGTGGCATGTTTTCTTTCGTGCGCACTCCAGGCGCCCCTCCACGTCGCCGCCTAGCCCACAATCTCTTCGCCAGGAAGAAGCGGACAGCCTCGCGTTTTTATGTCAAGCTAATTACAGCAGTTCTCACGACAAAGTAGTGAGGAAAACCAGACGTTCCCCATGATAGCTTTCCCATCAAAATCACTCTAGCCAACTTTAACCATAGCTTGGAGGTTTGACGAAACACTTCAGTCTATCGGCGGTTTCCTTGCAACAAAATATAGGTCGCACCTTGATCGAGGACCCGTTTCCAGCATGCTTTTCCCACTCGCTCCATACGTGTGCATACGAGAAACTACTCTCGGCGTGGACAAAGCACACACATTCACCGAAAAAAAGGCCTAAAATAAAAGGCAAGGAGCATTCGTCAAACAACATAAGCTTGCGAGAACGAGACGAGAAACAATCGCATAATCGGACATCTCTTATCCAATTTCGATTCACACAAGGAGAAGCAAGTACCGAATCGAATTGGCACTGGCACACCGGCCGGTCTGTAGGCTTACCGCGACAATGATCACCCGCTTTCATCCCTCCGTAGTTTCTACCGCCGTGTCGAGCGTTCGGCAACACCAAACGCGCCAAACACACAGCAAACAGGCGGACACGCGCTACTACTCCCGTGTTCCCAAAACCAAACAATCGACATCAGGCTGACGAGAGAGTGGTAAAATTATGAGCGGTACGATGCACAACCGCGATCCGCTACAACAGGTATAGACGCGCTTTTAGGGTACAACAATATCGGATGCCGAAAGCACTGCGACCAACAAGGCCTCACCTACAGGACTATAGTAGTCAAACAGCCATACACACCACCGCAAGGTCCATTTCTACAAGTGGAACAAATGTGGACGCGCGTATATAGAAAAAAAACACACATGAAAAAAAAACAGACCGCACGACACGGCCCAACAAAGGACGACGGACACACGCATGTAGCGGGCAGCACAGACGGATGGAAACTACACCAAAAATAACACCGGAAAGACAAGCTCGTGTCTAACAGCCAAACGCTACGCAAGAGCTGCGTCAGGACCGACCGCATCGGAGCAAGCCCCGTCGTCCGTTTGCTGCTACAGTGGAGGTCCCTGTCAAGGGCCGTTATTTTTTTTTCTCCCATCATTGGACTCTGTCGTCTGCCCCTCTGGTCCCTATCCTCCACTTCTACTAGCTAGACGACCCAACCGGGGTCACACAGGAGGGGGGGGTTGGAACCCCTCCTGCGGTTCCTGCCTGAGATAATTTTATCGCGAGAAGGGTACAGCTATCCCTTTCCTCGCGACGTACGAAGTCGACTTTGGTTTACTAACAACGAGCTTTGCAGCGCGTCGCTTGCATCCTAGACAGGGATATATTTAGTGAGAAAAAACTCACGCTGCCGGGACTCGAACCCATGACGTGCCAACTAGACCAGGGCGACCGGTTGTATGTATGTGCCAAAAAGACTCACCGGCAGCATATATATAAATATATATATATATTTTTTCCCTCCCATCATTGGACTCTGTCGTCTTCCCCTCTGGCCCCTATCCTCCACTTCTACCAGCTAGACGAGCCAACCGGGGTCACATAGGATATTGTACCGGACCGGAACAATCAAAAGTATTGAGAATGGCTCGGAAATTCAGGGTGTGTCCCACGAAAGCACCGGCACCATTCAACCGGCACTTAACCGGGACCTCTACTATAGTCTGCAATAGCTGCGAACCCACAACTTCCCAAACGCCCCACGTACATGAACTTGAATACAACGGATGACAAAACAATTCACATGAAATATACGTACAAGTAAATCAATCGATCGGAGGCGAAGCAGCAGGTGTTGTTTTAAGCCATCTCGTAGCTGTGCCCCCCGCCTCTCATCTGCTCATATCTGAAGCTCCGGAAGTACATGAGCGCCGGCACGCCCCCGAAAATCGCCCCGATCACGAAGCAAGCGAACGCGATACCCACAGCCCCACCAGCCGCCGCCGCCGGCGCATCGCTCCCATCACCCTCCCCCGAGGTGGCGGTGGTGCCCCCCCCAGACACCAAGCCGGACCCGTTATTGCTCGAGCCCGGGGCTAACGCCGACTCCGCGACGGTATTCTCGAGAACAGTGGGAGTCGGCGTCTCCGCGGCGGCCGCGGCGCCGTCTTCTCTGCCTTGTTCGTAATTGTCGACGGATGCCTGGGTCATGTTTCTGCAGCAGCAGTGGTCCGTATCGTCCTGGATGTCCACCGAGAACTGCGTGGCGTCTAGGAAAGCTTCTATCGCGCAAATGTCTGCCATTTGTTTTGTTAGCCCCGTCATTATTATTTTTTTTACGCGTTCACAGTGCCGAGGAGCGGGGGGAGGCGGAACAGACGGGGGGGGGGG